GTGTGTGTGTGTGTGTGTGTGTGTTTGTGTGTGTGTGTGTGTGTGGTGTCTGTGTGTTAATCTTCCTTGTTCAGTTCTTGTTTCCCCACTATCCTCCAGCTTATCTTGCTTGGAGTGAAAAAAAAGGTTTGCTTTAAAACATGAGTCCACCGAAAATATCCTCGTTTTCATCTCTGCTTCTTTTTTTTTTACGTGAAGCAGTTCATGCCCCCCACATGACCCCATCCCCAGCTGTCAACACGTGAGGCCTCCCGACCATCACTCCAGTCTCCGGAGGAAGATCTGACCCCAACTGGCAAAACGAAGAGCGGTCGTAAACAAACAGTCACGTATTACCGGAATGAGTAAAAACGCACAGAAAGCAACCAACCTCCTCACTTGTTGTGCTGGTAGGAGTAGGCCGAGTGTTCTGTGGGTGTCTCTATGGCAACTGGTTGTTGGACGGCACTTTCCTTAGAAAAACGGCAAACGTTAATATTGAGCCCACGAGTCATTGCCGAGCCCATTTTTCAACGGTTGCACTGAAAACAGGAGCTTACCTCAACTGAGATGTTGGCGGAAGGCACTTGTGGGTACGGGGGCATGTAGGTCCCCTGCAGAGACGTGTTTGCAGGCATGTACTGAAGGAAAACATGGGAGACATGGAGCTCATTTAAACTGGCACTGTAATGATGAGGCTTGGAGTTACTTGAAGGAAAGTCAACTGCCAAATGACTCGCATGGCAAAGTTTTCACCAGAGTTCATGCGATCTGTTTGTGCTCAGAGCGCAGGTGTGCGATGACCCTCGGCTACTAACATATGTTCGCTGCAGAAGAAGTGAAACCACAACAAACTCGACTGCAGAATTGATGGCCATTTTCTGCTATTTGGAGCCACAAATCTGTCAGGATGCTTAGCTTAGCTGGGACAACTCGGAGCTTTAAAATTAGGGATGCGCGATATATCGGCATTAACATCGGTATCGGCCGATATTGGTCATTTTTTAGAATATCGTATCGGTCCGATATGTAAAACTGGGTTGATATTAACGTCCGATTTTGATTTCACACTTTTTATCTTTGTGTTTGTGTTTTGGGAGGGGAGATGGTTGGTTGAGCGGCATCTGTTTAATCATGATAATGAAATTGACTCTGCATAGCCAGGAATATCTGAAGTAGGGAGCCATGTTAGAGGTCTGGTCGTTTATTTACGGCATCAAGAAAAGACCCAAGTGTGTTTGTGCGTATATGTATTATAAAATTTGTGTAATATCGGTAAATATCAGTTATCGGCCATAACAGCAATAATTATATCGGATATCGATATTGGTTGAAAATTTCCATATCGGTGCATCCCTATTTAAAATAACTAAATAAATCTGCAGTTCCCTTACTGTCCCACTCCTGCCCATGGAAAGGTGACTGAGTTGCTGCGTCAGGGGTCCGATCATGGAGGATGGCTGGATGGACATTGTGTGCTCCATCCCTGACGTGAGGACGGCTCCCTGCACAAACAACAACAAAAACATAACAAAACAAATGCACAACACTGTCAGCATTTACTGTCAAGGACAAAGTCAGACAGATCAAAACTGACAAAAAGTCCAGGCAGCAGCTTTAAGACTCACAACACTCACTGTGGGCGGCATTATGTACGACTGATGATGGATCCAGGATGGGTTGTGTAGCTGCAGGAACAACTTGACAGTTAATACGAGCGTGTGCATGGTGACATAACCTCTGTTCCCAGTGTTTCCTCTCTTACCTGATAGGCGGACACAGGCGAAGGCATATATGGGGAGAGGGAGGCCGGTCCAATCATTCGATTCGGGGCCATGTTATAAGGAGAGAAGAACCTGCAGACAGAGACACAGTCATTAGGGAGAACCCCAGTGTAACCCCCCCCCCCCCTCCACACCCCACCCCAGAGATGGTGGTACTGACCCGTTCTGTAAGGCTGTGGTGGGGTCATAGGTGAGGGTGAGTCCTCCCTAAAAGGAAAACATAAAGAATAATGGCGACATCACAAGGAATATAAACCAAGAAAATAATAAAAGGAACTCACAGCTTCTCCATCTCGTGTCCAGGCTCGCCCGTTCTGCAGATGTTTCCCTTGACTCTGACGCTTCTTCTGACCTCCATCAGCAAATTTACACAGCAAGGGCTCTGATGGCGCTGAATCAAATAAAATCATCAAAACGTTTGGTTTCTGACTCGTCTGTTTAAAGCTATTTTTAGCTATTAGCAACGATTTTGCTGGTTTAAGCTTTTAGCTACTCTTCTGCTAGTTATACCTTTACATTTTTTCTAATGTCCATTGTATCTAAATGTCATGAAATCCTAAAAATCTAATGCTTTTTAAAAAAACTACTTCAGCATATTTACTTGATTTGTAGCTTTTTGCTACTGTACTACTGGTATAGCTTTTAGCTTTTGTATTGCTACAGTACTTTTAGCATTTGATAGGGGCAACATAGCTTTCCTTTTGACTGTTTTAAGTTTTAACAACTCATTTTTAGCTTTATCAACAAATTTCAGCAGTCATTCATCACTCAACATTCATACTGCTTCACCC